CCACAGCTGCTTGCCCGGTCCCCGTCCCGGGAAGTTTCACTGCTGCCTGCCTCTGCCTGCAGTTGAAGTTGTTCTCGGGGCATCACCGTCTGCACTCACGGAGCGCTGGTCGCCGCTCGAAATCTTTTACCTCCTTTTCCTGATAGTGGGAGAGGATCTGGCTTTGGCCCCGCTTCGCCTCAGTTTTCCCCGGTGCATCCAGGGGGGCTTTGTCTAGCAGCCACGAAAGAGGCTCGCACAAGTGATGTTCGCAGAAAACTTCTAAATCCAACAGAAAGTTAACTGGATTGCACTTTATTTTATGTGATAGGCAATTAGCTGTATGAGTGGAAGTTAGAAACAGTGAAGTATATGGTCTGCCTCATCCAGCTGCTATCCCTCTAGACACTTTTCTATTTGGTTGATTTCTGCTTGTCTTTCAGTTTTTCAGCATTGTTTTAAAATTAGATGTAGCAAGGTTGGGTGTTGTGGTTTGTGGGGGTTTGTTTTACCATTTTCCTAATATCCTTGCCACCTTTTGATACTGAAACCATTCAAACTTTTCTTTATTGAGAATAACAAATCTCAAGCTATGGGTGAAGACTACAAGTTAAGTACAATGCTGGGAGGGAGAAATTTGAGTTGTGGGCCTACTTCTAATACTAGATTTTCTAGCCCCTAGAACAGACAAAATAATCAAGTGTAAAATGTATACTGCACTGATAGTAGTTTCAAAGCTAAACTAAATATAAATATTCCTCAAGCTAAAAACCAAAGACAGCAAGGGTAAGTTCTTAGACGTGGTTTAAATCACTTGTGTTTTTTGTTTCTCCCTTCTTACCTATATGAAAGCTTATCTTTATGTACTTTATGGGTGAATTTTGAGGCATAAACAAAATTCAGAAATCTTTCTGCAGATAAAAAGTGTTCAAAGCAACTTTGTAGAGACTGATAATAGTTCAGTGTTAAGATCTTTCAATAAAACAGTATCATTTTTGTCCCATCAATTTTAATATTCTTAGTGTCTAAAAACCCCTAATTTCTCAACTTGAAAATCTCTCTAGATCTCCTTTCCAAAGTAACTGAGACTGCAAACTTTTTTTTTTTAAGGAACCTGCAAAATCAGCCAAGAGTGGAAAAAGTGGCAAAGATGGACAAGATAACCAAGAACATGAGGTCAGTATTACTGAAATGTGTAGGTTTTTTCAGGCAAATTAGTAATGACTTTTGAAGAATGTTTTAAGTTTTTCTAGATTGTTATAATTTTGACATGACAGGTGGTTGTGGAACTACTGCCCTGGTGTTTGACAAAAAGCGGGTTTAAGGCTTAAGATGCTTTTGAAGAAGTTAATTTTATTTAGAATAAGTAAATACTTGCTCGTTCCAGTCTTAGATGTTCATCTGTTTCCTTTTAGGTTATGGGGCGTACATCTATCTTATTTTCTAGTCTTATTGTGAGGTTTTGGGCTTGTCTTCTAGTTGCTTATTGCAGTTTTTATTGTTCTCTGTAATTCCCAGAGCTCTCATCTCTCAAGCTGTCAATGTTGGCATGTCAGTTAAGTGTCAGTAGTCTGTTATATTGTCAGGAGACCTTAGGCTTAATCAGAGACTGCCAGTTGTTTTGTTGTGTTTTTTCTTTTTATAGGTGTACAATGGAGTGGCCCATTTTTGACTGATTAATCTGTTGTTGATGTTGATTTTTTTTTTTTTCTTCTGCATTGCCCTCTGTTTTGCCCACCAGCAAGGTGCAGTGACTTGAAAAGGTTCAATTAAATCCTTATTCACTCCTTTTCCCACATTAATCCAGACACTCCAAATTAATACATTTTCTTAATTTGGAAATCCACTGTTCAGGTGGATTCTGGAATTTCCTTTAAAATGTTCATACCAGCCTGAATGTAAAATGCTACTCTGAAAAGCTTATGTATTTCAGCCTCTAAACTACATGTGTTGATACTGAAATACAGTGTTTGAGAACAAAATACTCATCCAGCTTTACCATTTTTCCCTCCATGAAATGACTGTTGGGGGTAGGTGGGTGGGAATATTTACTATACTCTCTCTGATGCGCTTCAATGAGTTTTCATGTGTTTGTTGTGCAGAAAGATGCATGCTACTGTCAATAAGATCATTAAAACTTGTAAACTAAAGTACTTCGGCAAATTCAGATAAAAGAGTGATTGAGTTTTGGTGGAGGGAACCTAGTTACTAGGAGGGATATTAGCTACTAGGAAAGCTCTTAAAATGAGATAAGAAATGTATCGCTGTAAGTGTTTATAACAGTGTAAATAGATGTACTTTATTGTGATATGTTCTGTCTTTACAGTATATTACTGTGACGTTAAAAAGAGTATTACTTCTTGGCTGTAATTTTAGTTCCTGTGCAACTGTAAGGTTCGTCATTATCAGCATCTTTGCCGTGCATTTGTTGACTAGTTATTTTCTCAAGCTTCTGAATGACAAGCTGTTGAGACCAATACAGATTTTCTTATTCCTTCTTTGTACTTTAGGATAGAGTGTAAAGCTCCCATAGTTAATTAGTGGAGAGCTTTAAATGTTAATTGAAAATGTATATGCAGTTTTCTTTGTAACTTCTTTCTCTTTGCAGATTTTTTTTTTTTTTTTTTTTAACTTGCACTTAAAATGTGAGAGATGAATCTCAGTAGGAGAATATATTGTAGTGTTCAAGCATTTTCCTTTTTCAGTTGTCCTTCCAGGTAGAATTCCCATTGAAAAGTACAGCTTACTTATGTTATCTATGATACTTAATCATATATGAGTAGGGGCAGGATGAGAAAGGGACTGGCACATATACTAGGGTTGCCATTCCCAGTGGGCATTATTTAGCCTCCATACAATTTTGAACACCTCAGTGCTTGACTCATTAACTTAAGTAATAGAATAATTGCACACAAATAGTAATGTAGACTTTGCCTTCTAATGTGGCTGGCTGTAATCATGATGTATGTTAGCCAGTGCTTATATGAGCAGAAAGGAGACTTTGTTAACATGGTGAACACTAGTAAATGTAGAAATATTCTGAAATACGCTGTTAATACATTTTTAGGGCTTTGGGGTTTTTTTTTTTCTTTAAAGAAGGCTGTCTTCAACTTCTTGTTGTGTCAAGTCTTCAACTTGTACATGTGTTTTAACATGGCTTTTTAAAAATCCTCTTCTAGACTATGAGTAGATTTGGAAATATGCTGGGTTTTTTTTCTCAAAATGCATTTATTGCATATGCATTTAATGCAAATGATAGATTGTAAAGACTAGAAACTGTCTGCTGTTGAAAGAACAGGGACAACACAAGCAGCAGCATCCCACAAATATTTTATTTATAGACACTTTCTTAGCACTCAATTCATGGTGCCTTGGGCTTCTATAGATAAAAAAAGTACAACAGATCTTAATGTTTACAAAAATGAACAAGTGTTTTTCCTGTCTTGCAGTCAGGGAAACAAAGATTTCAGTTGAGTGAAGCTGTACAGCGAGTTAGAAAAGGGATTGAAATGATTCCTGTTATGGGTTGACCCTGACCTGCCATACTAAGAGGGGGTGAAAGTGGCTGAAGCTGATGCTTGTCTTGGTTTGAGAATTCCAGTGATAGCCCATAAGCATGTAGTACTTGCAGAAGTACTAAACAGTAGCTGCAGCACACTGAAGTCCTCTTCATTTAAATATCAAAGAATCCCGTTGTAGTTGTGTTTGAAAGTAAGGTCCATCTTGTCTATTTTTCTGTCTCCAGTGTTCCCACCAGGCAAATGTTTAGGGGAAAGAATACAAGATTATTCTTGCATTACCTGTGCCTTGGTTACTCGATGTAATACCAAAAGAGGCATGCTACGTAAGGAGAGAGGCCCATGTTGCTTCGTATTTTCTGTGTGGTCAGGAGCTGATACTAAAGAAGAGAGATTCAGAAACAGAGTAGATGTATGGTTTTTCCATTCTGTCATGGTTTTCTTTAAGCCATTACTTTAAGAAAGCCTTACTTTAAGAAAGTTGCTTAGCTGAGGTGTTGTGTAAAATTGTTTTCATATTATTAATGGTTTAATTGATTTTTTACATTGTCATCTGTAGATTTCCCCTCCCCCCCCCCAAGCCCTGCTTAATCTCCCCTAGCTGTGTGGACTTCCATTACTTTGATTGTCCTTCTCTGTTCCCATGTTCTGTTCTCCTTTTTTGTTTCCAGTTTCACATATTGTTCATTTTCTGAACTTCATTGATTAAACTCCCATCTACCTTTAGTTTGTAACATGTTAGTAAACATTAATGAATTAGGTTAAATACTTGCCAGAACAATTGAATCTATTCCTTTAAGTATAACCTCTTACTTCAATAATTAGTCCAGGATATTAGTGTCTTCAGATTATGAACAAAGACGTAATCTGTTGTGTATTGGTTTTTCCTCTGTGTGGGAGTAGTGTCTCTACTCTGGTAAAATACTTGGGGCAGGGAGGGAAGGGATGTTTAGCGGTGCCCAAAACCTATACTCGGAACACAAACAAGTAAAAAAAAAAAATTGCCTGGGTGTGGGACTTGGCTATGCCAACACTTAGTAACTTGTGGACATATTCCCTGTGACCTAACTGGCCTTTGCAGAAGTTACTTGCCTCATGGATAAGCTTTGTTGTAGAGTTCTGTTTTGTCACAGTGGTGTGGAGGTTTCCTTTTGAGTTAAAGCAGTAGTAACTTATGGTCTAATTTCTTTAGAAAGAGGTGGCTTGGTAATAGTTCGTGATTGCTGGGAAACATTGCCTTTTTCTATCTCTAGCAAAAACCTAACACTTCTGAAAATTCCAGTGTTTCTTACAGTGCTTTAACGGTAGTTTTCAAATGCAACCACAGGGGAAGGAAGTTAAAATTTTAACCCTATAGAGTCTTCTTTCTGTCTGTTTTGCCTGTAGCAATGTATGTGCTAAAACTTGCACTCTTCACCAGTCACTGCAATGGTCTAGGAGCACTTGGACAGTTCACTGTTGCGGTCGTCTGCAGGATGGAAGGGTCAGAAGTAGCTGGTAACCTTTCATCCAAGGCAGTAGTAGGTGACTGGGAGTGATAGCGTCTTCTAGGTCTAGCTGGAGTGGTTTAAGAAGGCATGAAACTTCTAAATTTAAAATCGTATTCATTTTGAATCTTGATGCTGAGTAGTGTGTAGAGGGGAAAGACTACTTTTGTTGTTTAAGGAAGTATTGGCTTGGTGACTTTCAGCAAATGAGAATAGGAATCATAACTCTTTCTTCAAGTTCTTCTGCCATGCAGAACAGCAAACGGAAGAGTACTGTGGTTTGAGGAGTGTGTGTTTGTGTGTATTATCTCACTGTTTCCATGTGCTGCCCCGGTTGGTTCTTTCTACTTTAAAGGTGGTTTTATTGAATACAGACAAATCAAAATGTATTTTATTAAAATACAAACTGCATTGGCCAATTTTCTTGCTGTGCAAGAAATTTCTTGATTTATTGAGAGCATGTGTTGCTTATGTCAGACTATAATCGCTGTTGAAACCAATTTAAAAAAAAATTAAAAGCTTTGTTAAATGCTGATCCATGCTTCTGTCCTCCACTGTCTCACAGCCATCACTTTCTAGTAGGTTGTTTAAACACTAGTAATAGCTTCCAGTGCAGCAGTTTTGTCAGGCTTCATTTTCAGAGGTTTTTCTTCCTTGCTTTGTGAAGCCTTTTTTATTTAAAAGTTAATTTCTTAAGCTTTTCAACATGATGGTAATATATTTTTGGGAATGGTAATGGAATTACAGAAATCTCTCTTTAATGGGCTGTCTTTAAAATATTTCAGCAAAAGTAAGGATTTTCATGTTTCTGAATAAACCTTGAGAGCTGGCTATCCAGTTTTCCGTGATCAACTTTTCCTGTATTAGCCAGCACACAGTAGGGACTATCAGTGTTCTCATTACTACTTTTACTGATTCCTGATTACATGTGCACATACGATTGCCACTTTCCTTAAAAATAATAAATTAAAAAAGGGATGGGGAGTAGAAGTGGCGTTGATGGTTTTCTGTGGGTTTCTTAGCAGAGATCATATGTAGAAGTATCCTAATGTAATAGACAAAAGCAATACATCCAGCATTTTTTGTGTCAACAGGTTCCTGTGTAGCAGCAAGGTATTTAGAAAGTTGACTCCGTATTTTCTATATACTGTTGCTTATTTTTCTCGTGTTT